CCAGATCACTACGTATACGAAGTTGTCTAAAAAAGTATTGAAATTTTATGCGATTGAAAGTCTTGTTGTTCTATTAAAAAAGGTTGCTGTTAAAGTTTAAATATTTAGACCACGAAAATAAAAAGTGAGTTTGGGAGCGTTTTTCTTTAATGTAATTCATATTTCTAAAAGCCTTTGGATATTTAGTCCTTTTCGCCTAGAAGATAAGAGCTAAAAACTCAACCGTATTAAACGCTCGATGAAAGCACGGTCAAGGCTAGATAAAGGCTCTATGAAGGCCGCCTATCTTTACGCGATCAATGGAATTCAGGCTCGATGCACGTTTTGTCGGCTTGTGCACGATTATCTCATTCAAGCACGATGCAGGATGGCAAAGTTTGATCTAATTTGTTACAGGCTGTGATCACCAACATCGCGTGCACTTAACCTGAGGTTTTCTTTGCGGGAATTTGTAACGGACATTTTCCCTTGCATGAAGTGTTTTGGTTTTTCAGCACCCCCCTTCACTTTTCTTTCCTTCCCCCCCCTATCACTTCTTTCGACGATAAATATTTGTCTCTCAGTATATTGCTATGGCAACTTTGTCCTTTGTACAATGTAGGCAATGATGTAGTCAATATAATGGTATCATCAGCAACTTAAAGAACTATCATTAAATCTAGATAAACGTTTCATGTCCGGTATTTTTGCCTCTGTAAAGACTGAAAGTGCGTGAGATTTCGAAAATAAGAGAAATAGAATTACAAAATCTCGTTTTAACTGTTTGCATTGTGAGGAAATCCAGCATCACTTGTATTAATTGGCTGATTTTTTTTCTTTTTGGATTCATCACTACAGCTAATTTCTTAATAGCTATACTAAGGCTACGGAATTATCTTGATTTATTATTTAATAAAAAAAAAATGCGTTTTCTGATATTTCCGTCCGAAGTCATTAAATATTCAGTGTCTGAAATGTTCAACACTCGAGTAAATATGAGTATATTAAACAAACCATTGAGGTAAGTACCATGTCTATAATGATGAATTAATTGTGTTTTGAAAGCAAATAGTAAGCTGGCCATAGTTCCTTTAATTGCCTGATCTGTTTAATTCATTCAGTCATTCTCTCAGTTGGGTGAGACATGGACGCGTCATGCCCTGACAAAATTTGTCTTTTCTTAAGCTTTAAGTCCAATTTGCAGCGTGCAGCAAGGTTCTCTTGCTGTGGCAGCTGATTGGACGGATCATAAAAACTCTCTTTACCATAGCTTTAAGCTAATGTTTCGAAAAGGAGAAAAATCAAAAAGGTGAACGACCAAAATTACACCTACCATATATGATAATTGCTTGTACAAGCTGTATTAGGATCAATACCGCCAACAAATGAATCCTTGCCATTGTTCAAACACTGATACTGTGGCCGTTCGCAAATGCTAGAAATCTTGCGGATTATCCTCTGCACTTAGATAATAAAGAACTTTTTAGGTAACTCAAGGTAGAGGAGAAAATATATGTTATGAATCGGCTTCACATTTGGTTACGAAGCGATAACAAATGCATGGTTCATTGAATTTTCTAGGTTACGCCAGTTGCCCACGTCACTTAATTGTCATAGTAACCCTTTGTAAAATACTGCATGATGAAATGCCCCTCAGCAAAATGATTCTCAATAGATCGTTTTCAGTCACGTGGTCAGCATCTTTGCAAATTGCTTGGAATAAAAGAAAGTTTTAACATGTTAAAAGAGTTCAATTCCCTCAGTATTTTTTAAGTACGCAAACATGGCCGCCGTGACGTCATGTGAAAACAATCTATTAAAAATTTTGATCTCAAATCTGTTCATTGACACAACCGGGCTAGGTTAATTGATTGAACGCATATATATAGAATAGATGGCTGGTTACACACCATGGTAAAAGGCATTCACCACAGTAAAAAAGGCCGCGGTGAACTTAAATTGGGTTTACCTTACTACATGAAATTTTCGCGTATTTCGCAATACAAAAAAAATTGCGAAATTAAAGTGACGCGAACAATAAGTGTCGCGAACACTACAGGAGGCGAAAATTAAGTGACTCACATTTGTCCATAATCAAGAAATAACGAGTTTATTAGTAATGGTAACAGGACTGAGTGGAGTCCAATTCGGTCTGTAATCATACGAGTGATTAACAAAATCGGACGACTGCGTAGCGGGAGTCCGATTTGTTTAATCACGAGCATGATTACAAACCGAATTGGACGAAACGAAATTCTGTTACCAATTAATCATAACTTAAACAAAATTTGTGATATGATAGGCTATTTTTAAATCAAAACACAAGAAATTCGAAATTTTGTTTTGCTAGCAATAAAAAAAAAAATTAATTTAAGCGCGCGCGTGATAGCGCGTACTGTCCAATTACTTAGGCATGACGCGTACTGTCCTATCAAACTAGCCAATCGATTTGAGAATTTTGTTATAGTTATGATACCACTGAAACGTTTCAAAATCACATTTTTACTTTTCTGAGGAATTTTCAGTGTAAACGGATGTTGTCTGGTTAATTGACTCAAATAATTCACGTACAAGCGTGAACTGCTTGAGAGAACGGCTTTGTTGTTACTGTTGACATTATTTAGTCCCGCTGTTGCTTTTTCCTTAATATTGACGGTATTATTTGTTCCTTCGATAAAGTCATTTTATTAACTAATTCAAAGACATGTTAAATAACATTGGCTTTGAAATGTAAATTGTTGTTCTCAAAAACGCGAAAAGAGAGTGATTCAAAATATAAAATTTCTCATGATCGCGAAATTTAAGTATCGCAAAATATGCGCACATAAAAATCGCGAAATAAACATGTCGCGAAAATTTCATGTGATAAGGTAGTTCCGGCGTGGTACCTTGTGGTTACACATGAATTAATCACCGAGTTAAATTATATAATAATAATAGCCACTTTTACGGCTTCATTTGGCCCATTGCTACTCTATTTTTTGGTAATAATCGCGGTCGATTATTGCAGGGTTTCATGTTCTGTTGAAAATTTACGCATAATTTGAGCCATCGCGCAGAATGAGTGGACATCATTAATTATTCATGACCGCCGAAGCGGCAAATTCGAATGCACGAGCGCTTTGAATTATAAGCTCCAAATAAGAGAAGAATGGGCCTATTTTGGTCCACCAGCGTTGATAAAACTCCTTGGCGCGACTTCGTTAGCTCCAAAATAAGGAACCTCACCACGTCGTGTTTGATTTCAATCGACTCTTCTTATTGAAGAGGGACTTTCATCACTCTCTCAAATACGAGACTGATCCTCTCTCTTGCCTCTTCTACGCGAACTGGATCCGGATCAGGGTTTTCGAAGGCCTCGACCAAGTCTAGCGGCAGATGATCTTTCGGTTCCCAAGTGTTCAGTCACTCGCACAGAAGTGAAACCATTTTACCATGTACTGAGGCTTCCCTTTAACAAAATTCTTGGCAACGATGCGCTCTGCTTCTAATGTACCAAGAACTTCAGGTTTTCTTTCGCAAATGCGTTTACGGGAAATCGCAGGGAACTCGCTAATGCACTTGTAAAATCCCAGCGAAGGGCGAGGCCATTTTCCGCCATCTTCTCGTTTTCAAGTCGCAAAAAATTGCACCTGTGGCCTGTATAGAACTGCGGGTTTATAATGGTACACGAAGTGACAAGGGAAAGCCACAGGATCGAAAAGCACCAATGGGTTTTGGACTGAACGACAAAGATGAAATTAGCATAAAAATCCGTGCCAATTTATTAGCTCTTGGCACTATCTTGTGCCTGGGCCGCCTAGCAAATTAACATACGTGAGTCTTTTGCGTTTCATCAAATTAGTTCTAGCCAGCTTTGGGCTTAAAGCGTAATAGTGATGACACAAGCGAGCTCTAACAGATCGCGCGCGACAATTTTTTTCAACAGTACTCAATTGCAACCAGTTTTCAAAGGACTGTAACTTTATTCGACCTCAGTTGTAAAAGCATCGTAAAATTGATTCATCTGAAGCACATTGAAATATTAACTGCTCTTTACGACTTCTGTGTTTCTGTTGTCACGCTTGTAAGCACGCGTTGCATAAGCCATTTTAAAAGGTGAGATATTAGGAAACAGAAGGAAAAACAATAGCTCGCATGGCCTTTGTTGCTTTGCTCCGCCCTGAAAAGTTAATGAACAAGGCGATAATCGTTACAAACGAAAAACCGCGCAGACTTCCACCAATGAGGGCGATCCAGTTCACGCTTCACCTGTAATATTACAGACCTATGCTTCTAGCTCGACTATAAGTAAATGTCCCGAGAACAATAGCCATTCTGCGCGATGACAATTACATCTGGTAAGATAGTCCTGATAAATCTAGATTCTATTTTTAAAATTCAGCCCATTTCTATCATCTGTCAGGAATAGATCATATTTTTAGTAAATATGGTTCCTACACCTGGCTCAACAAACAAGCTAAAATCTTGCCTTAAAATTCCCCCGTTACTTTCATGTCAAAGATGGTTAGAAACTGGTTTTTTAAAGTTTGAAAACTTGGCGCAGTAGAGATTGTATGGCCATGGCATCTACTGAGAACAGTGGGTTACCATTGCGCCGCTGATGTCAGATTGCCCTTTTGCCAAGGTGCCGGTCTATCATAATTTTTGCATCTTCAGCTGTGGATTATATTTTAATAGAATATTCATCACTAAAGATAAGACCCTATTGCACACCGAATGAAGTAAAACACACATGCTTGTAATGGTTGAGTCTCCCAGAAAAATCTACAGGATGATAAAACTTTAATAAGTTATCTTAAAAAAATGACATAAATTGCGCTTGATATGCGTTTTAAAAAGCATAAAAATTTCACTCCTGTCATTTAATAGCTCTACAAGAAATATGGTATAAATTACACGTAAGGTACTTCCAATAACAGTTACCTCTTATTTGATCAAAGATCACTAAAATACTTAGAAAATTTTAGTCTCTGCTAGTTAACAAGTAAGGAGGACTTATACTAAACATAGTCTCTTGTAACGCAAAAAAGAAGGCCCGCTTCAAATAGTGAGTAGAGCGAGCCAATTTGTTTTGTTTGCAAACTTGAAATCCATGTTCTGTCAGTCAAGTGTTTACTTCCGAGAACCAGGCTCGGACTGCACCTGTGTCCGATTCCTCAAAAGATGGTTACAATTTACCCAGTGTTAGGGCACATTTCAAGCAAAGTTTTCTTTACTAGGGAATCTGTAACAGAAATTTTTGAAATATTTTCGAGTCTTCTCTCCGACATCTAGTTATGATAAAGTAAAATGATACTCCATATGAACACTTTATAGGAAGGTCACCNTCTTGTAACGCAAAAAAGAAGGCCCGCTTCAAATAGTGAGTAGAGCGAGCCAATTTGTTTTGTTTGCAAACTTGAAATCCATGTTCTGTCAGTCAAGTGTTTACTTCCGAGAACCAGGCTCGGACTGCACCTGTGTCCGATTCCTCAAAAGATGGTTACAATTTACCCAGTGTTAGGGCACATTTCAAGCAAAGTTTTCTTTACTAGGGAATCTGTAACAGAAATTTTTGAAATATTTTCGAGTCTTCACTCCGACATCTAGTTATGATAAAGTAAAATGATACTCCATATGAACACTTTATAGGAAGGTCACCTCAATCCAGGGCCCCGTTGTTCAATTGTTAGATAGCGCTATTTACCGGATAAATCACTATCCGGTAGCCTGAATTTCATCCAATTGCTTCGAGTCGTTTACTCCTCTCAGCAACGTCTAAATCGACCAGCCGTTAATGCTGTCCAGCAACGTCACCACTACCCGAAAACCGGGTACTGATTTTGATTGGTTGATTGTCTAAACATTCGCATAATTATGTATAATTATGAGAAATGTAAGCGGGATTGTCGATTGATATTCAGCGGATTGCATCGGTGGCATCCTTGCGTGAAGTTCAAACATTTCGATGATAATCTTTATCGTAAACAGCAAAATTGCCCTTGTCTTCGAAACTGAATAGCTAAATTGAACTGCGAAAGAAGAATCGTTGCCGAGATTCGGTAGGTGTTTCATTTCCGCAGTGGGATTTTGTTTATGCAAAATTTCAGGGACCAATGTCATGTTGTCATTCGGCCTTCTTGCTATTTTCACCGTCAAGAGTAATGATTCTGTTAGTTTTTCTTGTTTCCTTGTTTACTTTTTTCGTCGTTAAGGACCAAATAGCTTCTTTTCAATTAAATGAAATTGTTGTGTTTTTGAACGTGTTTCCGTGTGTTTTTATTTCATTGCGTGATTGCACCCGAGTTCGAATTACAACCGGTTCAGATACTGCATGCACTTGATAGTTTGAACGTTAAACATGAATTACGATCGAAAAGAGGTAAAGCAATTCTGTCAGGCGTTCTGTGTCATGTAAACATTTCCAAACGATATTTCTTGGTTTCCACTTGAAGATCATGTTTTACTTTTTGCATGAATTAAAGCGGAGGAGTAGTGACGTCACTGGAAGGCATTAACGGCCGGTCGATTCAGACGTTACTGAGGGAGTAATAACGACTCGAAGTAATGGGATGAAATTCAGGCTAACTATCTTGTGGCTAAACATGATGTATAGATTTTTGCCAGGGCTAAAAGCGAAGCCTCCCTTTATGTCTTATAATAATTAACAGTTATTATTCCGCTTTGCGGCTCGGTAAATATTCCTAAAGCCACTGAGATTGAAAAGAATGATTGGTTTAGTTTATACACACAAAGCGATCTCAAGAAAATCAGAAAGGAAACCATTTAAAAGTACGATTTGATTGACGGATCAAATCAAGCAAGCAATAGATCTTTGCAGAATTTTCAGACATGATAATTCACAAGTTTATCAGGGTCATCCCTGGTGTAATATAATTTATTCGTTTTCTTTGTTTCATGGGCTATTTTCAGGGTTAGGTTCATTGTTAAGGGTGTTTTGTTGTCAGTTCGTTTTACGTAAGCTGTGAGTAATAAATTATATTACTCCCGAGATGAACCGTTCATCACTTCGCAAACACCAGCGTAATGGCTTAAATGGAAACTTTTTGTTTCGTTACCTGAGAGGAGAGGTAGAGCCTTAATTGTTATTTTCTGTTAACTCGCCAAGTTTATAGCCAAAAAGGTTTGTTGTGTCGTTCTTCGCATGAAGTGCTCACATGGCGGCTCGGTTGCTGATGGTAAGGCGTCGTTTTGCTTTAGCATTCTTCGTCTTATTTACTTGAAACGTAGAATTTCTACAAACATTTGCTTTACTTTTGGTTTGTCATAAATAGACTTCCATTTTTGGACCAGATGTTTGTTGGTAGGAAACGCTCAGTGCACGAAACGGCCTACAATAACCTGAATTTCAGACGATTACTTCGAGTCGTTTTTACTCCCTCAATCGCTGGTTTGCTCGTGACGTCACGGCAGCCCTGTTGGTGGTCAACAACAAAACCTTCTCTGTCCTTTGGGAACCTCACTCTATTTTCATGTTAATTCTTCGAGAAAAATTCTTTTGTATTGACCCCTTTTATGGCCGTGGTTACAAACCAAGAATAACGTCTGAATCGACCGGCCGATAATGCCGTCCGCTGACGTCACTACCCAAAATTGATTGTCGAAAAATTTTTATAATGATGTATAATTATGAGAAATTTTAGCGGGACTGTTGTTTGAGATTAAGTGGATCGCAAGCCTGGCATGCTATAGGCCAATACCTGCAGTCTTTTCTATTTTCGATAAAACTTTTGAAAAGGCTATGTTTAAGCGCCTTTATGGTTATCTTGAATATTGTAACATTATTTTTCCGCTTCAATTTGGCTACGTGAGTAAAATTACGGTTCTAACAGTAAAAAAGAACATTTTGATAACTCAAACATAAAAAGTTGAATTGATAAAAATTGCCAATTAACGCTCATCAGTAAACTTTATCTAGACCGTTAAGGCTTATGCGGTCTATTGGTTTCCCCTTAAACGATGTAGAATAAAAATGCCTCGGTAAGGATTTTCCATGTAAGTGGCAGCTGGATTTTGCTCCATATCCATTGGCCTTGACTTCTTTGTCTCTTTCTTCAGCTTGCATTCCTTAGTGTTCCACAGAAACTTTGTACTTTGACATTTTTCATCCAAGCTACAGTCAAAGAAGCATCGACCGAAACCTTCAGCCGTCGAGCTTTTGTAGTCATGCCCAATTAAAGCCCATCCGAATTCTTCTCTGCCGGTGTCTTGATAGACATCGTTGCGAGGCTGATCGGCGAGAATTTCTGCAAAGTGAAACATGAAGCCAAACAGTGTGCACCAAAAACCAACCATTGCATTCGTGTGGTTTATCTTCCGTCTTTTCTAAATATGTGAGAACAAACCAATTTCCAAATTACAATGTCAGTACGTACAAAAACGACTTGTGTAGCCTTTGCTCTTACACGGCCACCAAAATGCACATAGAGATTCTATCATACAAACTGTGTTCAACTCGTTGTGATACGTTTTCAGTCTTCGGTACAATCCAAGTAACAAGGTGGACAATTGAAAGGATTGAAAAGTTGTTTAATGAATTAAGATGAGTCGATAGTGCAGAGAAACACTGTTAACTTTGGTTTCCCAACAGGGTGATAAAGTAAATTTATGATCATAAAGAGATTCTCTAGGACTTTTTCCCTAATGCCCCCTATTTCGGATCACCTCACAAGTACAAATATTTTAATAATTACCAAAGTTTAAATAACGAAATTAAATACAATACCAGCCCAATGAAAGGAAAGAGTATCCATTGATGACGTTTCCGTCCTTAAGATAGCAACAGATAACTCAATTGGATGTTTCATCGCACAAGTTGACAAATTCCACTCGTCCATTTTATGGACACTTGAAATGACTATGACTGTTCTCTGGAAATGACTATGATAAATATCAAGTATGAATTTTAAAGTAAGTAGAACCGTTTAAACTTTCAAGTGTTAAGAAACTTAAAAGTATAACGGCATTGGTTTAAGGTATCCAGTTAATCTTGAGGGAGTTTGTGACCGAATAGGGCCTGGGGCCCCTTTTCTCGAAAGTCCAGGTTACTTTTCGGACTCGAAAAGCTGTTTTATGTTTGCCATGTTGGCATTCAAGATCAAAGTTTCAACTGTTTTGAAAATGATACAATGAAACTATCAGTCAACGAAGCAAAATTGACCTGTTTGGAAATAGCCATCCTCGGAGACCCAGGGGCGGATAAAGGGGGCGAGGGAAAGTCTAAACTGGTGGAAAAATATATATGGAACGAAGAAAAGTGAAGAACGGCGAGAAGAACCCCTGGGGACAATGTCTTACCAGACCAGTTCCAAACGGTCGCCGCCGTTCTGGTTTCTGATTGGTGCTGATGACAACAACAACTTTTAATTTTTACCTAGCGATTTGCAGTTTATTACAAAATAAATTTAATATACTATAATTAGACTTTGCAGCTATATAGGCTGCACTTACTAACCTTAGAGGGCTAATGAAGATAGGGTAGTCGTAGGTGTATTTATGATAGTAGACAGGACAGGATAATGGTCCTTATTATCATCATTATCAGGAAATATGGAGCCTCCTGAATTGGCATGCCGTTTTCATGCGTACAAACCCACGTGGCACACGATGACTGAGAGTATCAGTGCTGTTCCTCAGTAATCAACTTTTTTTTCTCTGGAGTAATCCTGCATGTATAGTTTCTCATTGGCAAACCTGCTATAAATAAAGGTCGAAGACTTTCTATGCCTGAAACTTGTCTTGGAGCTGCCTGGCGTCAGAAAAAGTGTCGTTCTTTTCTGAAACTACCCTACAAGTTCTCTGATGGGCGAACTATCTCAATATAGCTGGTGAGACGAGTAAGGAGAATCTCCTGCCAGGATCGTCCCCTAGAGGGTCAACAGATAAATACGTATTTTTCCACCAAACCACGTAATCGTTTATTGATCTGTCTTGGCCAATTGATTTTTAGTTTCAGTTTATTCAGTTTCAGTTTATTTCACCACAAAAAAACAAACAAACAAACAAACAAAAAAACAAA